CGCGCCGCCGCCGCCGGTGCCCGGGAAACCGGGGCGGAGCGGGGCCGGGGGCTGCAGTCGGGCCGGGCCGGGCTCCCCCCGCGGTCTGCAGAGGAGGGCTCAGGGCTGTGGTGTCTGCCCTTGCAGCTGGGCTTCCAGGACGTGATCGCCGAGCCGGCGTCCGCCCACTCGTGTGACAGAGTGTGGATCTGCAGCCACGCGCTCTTCGAGATCAGCAAGTACCTGGTCTACAAGCTGCTGACCCTGCTCTTGGCCATCCCGCTGGCTCTGGTGGCAGGCGTCGTCTTCGCCCTGCTTAGCTGCCTGCACATCTGGTGAGTAGATGGCCTGCAGCCTTTGTGAGACAGAGGAAAGGAGAACCCCCTGCCTGGAGAAGTTGGGGGTTAGGTTTGTCAGCAGTTGTCCTCAGGGGGCCTAGCAAACTTAGGCCACTTTAACTGTGTGCAGAGGTTATATATAAAGAGATGGAAATATCACACTGCCCTGGTCCCTCGGCTTTACCTGTGGCAGCTTAACGTCTGTGCTGTGTCAGGAAACACCATGTATCTGGGTCTGTGAAGGCAGTTTTCCTTAAGATCCTGGGGAATAACTGTTTTTCTGGCATGGTTTAGTACCCGCTGAGGTGTTGGGGCTTAAAGCCCACCATATGGAAATGGGAGGCTCCTCCTTAGCTTGCTCCTGTGGCCATATGGCTGAGGGCAGGCAAAACTTGGGGGCATCCGAACCCCAAGCCTCTGGGCTTGGGCCTACACGTAGGATGCCCACCAAAAGACATTGGAAATATCTGAAGCGCCAGGTCAGGGTGGAGGATGTTTGCCAGTTGCAGAGCCACTTATGGTTCTGGACTGACTCATGGATGTGGACTTGATTTGGCTTGGAGCACGAAAAATTTCTTTAAAAATAAAAAATGTTTGTGCTGTCAGGGCTGACAGTAGTCTTACACAGAGGTGATGGTTTGGATAGGGGGTTGGAGTACACCAGCATTTCTCAACCCATGGGTCGCAACCCAAAAGTGGGTCACAAGAATATATGAAAGGGTCATGAACAAACTTTAAAAATGGATTCTCCTTTACAGGAAAAAAACGTGGGAAACTCTGGCTTTTCCTTTGCAGGTTGGCAGAGCTTCAGCCTTGCAAAGAGCTGCTTGGCCCCCCCCTGCCCCACATTGGGGGCTTGGGCCTGGGGGCAGGGAGCAGCAGGTGAGGAGTGAGGGGCAGTGGGTCGGGACTGGCCATTGATGTTTACAGATGGGTCCCGGTACAGAAAAGGTTGAGAACCGCTGGACTAGGTGACCTCTTACAGTCCCTTCGAGCCCTACTTTACGTTTCTGTGACTCTTGGTTCCCCTGTGAAACACTTCTCTTAGCCATTGTCTGTTCAGACTGTAAGCTCCTGGGGGCAGGGACTGTCTCTTGCTTTGTGTTTATGCAGTGCCTTCCACCTCTAACTTGCCTGGGAGTTCTAGATGGGACTGAGATAGAAGTAATAGCAGTTACTTAGTTTAGCAAGGGTGTGGCAGAAGTATTATGCCAGTTTGGCAAGAGGATCATGATTCCTTCCTTCCCATCTCAAATTTTTTCATCTACTTGATACCCCTGTCATACCCTCCTTCTTTTCCATGATAGCAAAGCTGAAAAAATAACTGGGATTCAGTGCTATTAACATGAAAACTGTCACTGTCACATTTGACTGTGCTGCATGGTCATGGCTTTGTGCAACAGAATGCAGTGTACCCACAGGTACCTCCCAGCAAAGGAAACCCCACTGAGTTTAGGAGGCCTGATCCTGGCCTTGTGCCAGATTGACAGACAGGCACAGTAGCTGTAGAAAGTCACAACTCATTCAGCTCATGATTTAAGTTACATTTGTGGCAACAGTGAAGTGAAGCTTGAGAAACAAAAGGCAGCTGGTTGGATGGAACTGAAGAAAAAATGAAATAGAAAAAAGGAAAGCTTGAGATTCCAGCTGGCCTTCAAGGTAGGTAAAATGAATGAGATGACCGACCAGGTGCCCGGGACTGTACCTACAAAGCAAGATTTTTTCTTTGCATGTCATTTTCAGGTGTGCTTTTAGTAACTGTGGAATGGCAGAGGATACAGATTACGTAGAACAGGGCTTTCCAGCTGGCTGTATCCGGCCCACGAAGGGTTGAAGTGTGACCTGCAGGCTCCCTTCAGGCTGCCCCTCCTGCTATTGCTCCTGTTGCTGAGTCTCTAGGGCAGGACAGTGCAACATGGGAGGAGGGGGACCAGTAATCTGGCTGCCTACAGCATGGAGGGCACAGGCTTGAGCAGTGGGGGTGTGGAGGGAGGGGAGGGGAGCTCCCCCTTATAATGGCAGCAGTGGGTGGGGCTCGCATTACAGTGATGGTGGCAGCACCAGGGAGTTTGTATTGCTCGTGTGGCAAGGGGGCTTCACATGTGGCCCCTCCAGTATGCAGCCTGCATGGTACGCGTCCCAGGGTCCACTATTAATGCAACATGCAGTCCCCAGCTGCTCTGAAGTTGGACAGCCTGCAGTTGGAATAATATTTCATGAACCCCCTAACTCAGTGTGCAGTGGTGAAGGATGGTTAGAGGCAGTGAAATGGATGGTTGGATGGAATGTTTTTTATTTTTAACCATATTCTGCTGTTTGCAAATATACGTTTTCAAAAGTGCCATGGTAATTCAGGTTCAAGCAGCTGCATCACAAGCTATTTGCAACTTTGGGCAGTTGACGTTTAAGCATTTTGTGAGTAAAATATACAGAATATCTGAAGATGCTGTAGTCTACCATACTGAGTTTCAGTTCATGAACCCTGTTCTAGGTTTCTGCGCCACAGAAGGGCCTTTTCTCTAGATTCCGTTGGCTGGAAGTCTGTACATTCATTTTACTAAATCAGACCTCTGAAGGTCTGTTACAAAATCAAATTCTACTTCTCTAATTAGTTCCCATTAACTTTACCAGAATCTGTGAGTTCATGATGTTTAACCCTAGGCATTCAATCTAAAATATGGGTATTAATATCTTGCTTTAATCTCATTATTTTCCCTGCCAAAAATATTAGCAATATAATGGGGTTCTACATTCTGATCTTCCTTTGTTCCTGGGATGATGTGAAAGAACACTGACCTTTGTGGCTGTGTCTGTAGCCTTGGCCCATCCATTGTTGAGAACCAAGGCCAGAGAAATCCATTCTTCCTGCAGGAACTCGAGCCCAAAGTTAGTGTAACTTGAGCTTACATGTGGGTCTCACTGTCCACAAATATTCTTGGAAGTCTGGATTTGAATACAACTGAACTGCTCAGGATGTGGCTTTCAGGACTCCAGAGCTACTATCAAGTGGAAGCATATACATGAAAATGATCACAGGAGATTTTACTACACCTTCAACTCTCTTATGAAATATGAACTTTTGTTTCTACCCAGAAGAACTTTTATGATCTTTTCTCCTATGCCTGAAGAAGGGTGTTTGTGCCCAAAAGCTTGCAGTTAAAGAATTATTTTTCCAAAAATCTAGTTGGTCTAATAAAAGACATCATCTCTACCCCGAGTCCTGAATGCTTTTTATAAAGCACTTGCATGCATGCATGCATGCATGCATACTGTAACAACTACAGTACCATAGAAAAAATTAATGCAGACCTCACATGGTGTTCCTGCTGCACCTAAAACTCCCCCTAATTTCACTGGCAATTACTATCTGACACCAGTAATTAAAAGAATTCTAAAGAAATGAGCAGCATTTCATACAACATTTGATCATAAGGAACAGAAAGAAAAATAAGAAAAAAGCAATAGTATGCATTTCAACTTCATTTTTTCCTAGAAAAAAGTAACTTAATCTGGAGCCTCTCTTATTGCCTGCATTAAATTGGTCTCCATAGTTACACTATCTGGTGACAAGCAGACACTGTGCCAGTGCCAGCCAACAGTTTAGTGACCTGAGCACAAACGTGTTAGAACAAGGTTTTTGCTCTTGAATTGTTTTTCTGCTCTTGGTATTTCTTTCCC